AGCAAAGCTGAATTTAAAACTTTGATCTCTATTTTTAGGGCTTTAATAAAGAATTCAGAAAATGAAAGGGTTATTTTATAAAGAATATGCTGTCAATAATCTTCCCTTATATTTAATGCTCGTGTACATTAACTGTTTGAGCAAAGGGAATATGCAGAAAAAAAGAGCAGGGAATTGGCTGTGGCAAAGCGTTTGTCTGTACTAAATTGATCTATTCCTTAAAAGCAAAATTCTTCTTGTACAGAAACAGTCTTTTTCTGGATGCATTCAGAAAGTCGGACCTGCCCACAAGGTAACCTACCAGATGAGCTTTACTAGACCCACATCCAGCATATTCAGGAGGAAGCACAGCTCAGCGCAGCAAACGACGCTGGCACGTAGCCATCTGTACAGCATTTCCCTAGCGCTTTCACGTTTTGCCAGCACTGTCAATCCTGTCGTGAAGCCCTTTGGTGTGGAATGTCATCTGTGCCTCCCTGTGCCAGCGCAGGTATCGCAGAGATTAAACTGGCTTGCAAAATCTCAGGGCCTACACAGACATGTCTGTACAACAAACGTACGAATTTACTATCATCATTACGTAACTGTGTATAATATACACACATGTAGTAACATCAGTTATGCACTGAGGCCTGAAGATGTGCCCAGCCAGATCAAGAACAAAGAAAAGTTTTGGGTCCTGCTTCAGAGAAAGTCCAATTTAACTCTCCCTGAAATCAGCGTCAGCAACAGTTGACTTCAACAAGCTTTGAATCAGGCCTTAGACACTACTGGTAACAAGCTTGAAACACACACACGTGGTGTGGTTTCGATCTCATATTCATGATCTGGGCTGAAATGTTTTATCTGGACACTGAGACTGCAGAAACAGGGAAGAAAGAACAAAAGGGCACACTCCATCTGGCCTGCCCTTTCTCCACGGTGGGCTTGGCTAGACCCGAGCTGCACATGGCAGATGTTTGCCCCCGTGAGCACTTCTTCACCAGGGATGAGAGCAGAGACAGAGGGATGATCAGAAAACACAAGAACTAAAGAAATCGGTTTGTTGTGTACTCAAAAATCTTAGAATGATGAATTGCAACAAGTTCAGTTCGTCCTCACCTGTTTTTTTTTTTTTCCCTTGAGTTTCCCAGCAGTAGGATCAATCCAAAAACCAGAGAATGTCATTTAAGTGCCATGCAGCAGTTTCTGTGTGAAAACATAAATATAAATTAGGCAAAGGCATTTGACTAGGGACATGAATTATAGTAGATGTACACATTCAGACTTTGTCTAACTCAACTAAAATCAGCAGATTTAGACTTTAAAATAATTTGGCCCATATTATTGCAATACAAAAAAATATATGGTGTATTTATAGCCTTGGTCTCTCCAGCTGTGTTGGTTTAGGTTTTATTACATCAGTAATAACAATTTATGTGATACTCTGAATAATGTGCTATTAAAAATTCAGTACAGTATATACTGTTACCCGTGGGATTTAAACTGTGGGAGCTATGTGTATTTCTCTACTTTGCTATTTCTATAGGAGTGAAGATTACTATAAAAATGATTGGGTTATATACAGTGTGAATTCCTGCTCTGCTTGAATCCAGGTGAAGAGAAGAAATAGTTCAGTCCAGACTGCCTTGGGGTAAAGGTCCCCAGGGGTCCCAGCCTTGCAGTCTAAGGTTACAGTGATCACACATTTAAACATAAACAGTAATATCAACGTGCTTTTTGGTGTCTTTAAAGAATGCCAACAGATTTGTGAGGCATAACCTCCCCTAACAGACTTCATTTGGTGCTTCTACAGATTATCAGCTTTGTCTGTGTGTCTACTGATCTTACTCTTTACAACAGTTCATCTAATTTTGCTGGCATAGAAGCCACATTGACAGTTTTGTAGTTCCCATGATCACCCTTGGAGGACTCTTAAAAAAGACCAGTGGATCAGTGGTACGTTTCCTCTGTTCCGTTTTTCTGGCATTAGGATTGGGTTCAGCAAAAACGAACCCACTAGCACTTCAGTAGCTGAACATTCAATTCCCTTGGCAGAAACACTGCACAGCTCCAGCGACTGGTACTGTTAACTTGCCCATTCCTACAGACAATTCATTTTAGGACAGTTCCTCATGCTCAGCCCATCTGACACTTGGTTCTTCAGCAAGGCAAATAGCTCTTTTAGCTTTTTAGCTGTGGAGTTAGCCACCTTGAATGCTTCTTCTACACTTTCATCCTCTATAACTTTACTTACTGTCTTGCAGGACACTTCTGGTGATGGAATTTGAAGAAAGTTTGTATTATTACTTCCAGATTCTTGGCAAAACTTAAACTTGCTTTGTTCAGCTCTGTTGTGGTTTTACATTTGATATGGCAGAGTTTATGCTCTATGCTCCTTGCTTATATGACCCCCACTTTTGAAGGATGCCTGCCTTCTTTTCCCTCAGATGCCACAGCTGTCAATGTTTATGGATGGCACTGCCAGTATCTTTACCATTATGGCTCTGGGAGCTGGGCCCAGGTGAGGGATATCAGTAGAAAACAGTAATCACAGCACTTTTTCTTTCCATTGTTCAACCATGTGGTCCATTGCCTATGACTGAAAGGCTGCAACATAGAGCATGGACCACATGGGTTAGTAATTAAGGTCAAAGATTTCATGGAGTTCGTCTTTACATTTTACTTGCCTTTCTTGTAATGCTGTGTACGTATTTGTTAGATTTGGGAAATGTCTTTAGAACCTCTTTTTGAATACAATACAAGGAGAAACTTAATTCAAATTTTCTGTGTTGCCCCATTTTTGTTTGAAAATTATTCCAAAGCACAGAAGTGACTTTAAAATGGCAATTGTCAAAAGCTGAAAGGATTTACCAAGGGAGCAATCACCCCCTGGGTACTCTGTTCTTCTATACTTTCTTGGAGCATCTGCTTGATGCAGATAGAGCTGAGGAGGATCTTCTGTCTAACTAATGTCACCATTCTTATTAATGGAGTTAAAATATGTGATTTCTAAAAAGTATTGAAGACAGTCTGAGGACAGCAAATGTAAAATATACTTATTTGTGTCAGTTCTCCACCCTCTAAGGACAGAAAATTGTTACAAGGAAGGCAACAAAACCAGGGAAAATGAGTAGGGGTTTCTGTCTCTGAAATTGCCCTATTGTTAGTTGAAAAATAACATTAATGCCTTTACACCTCTTATGAGACTAAACTAGGAGGTACCCACATACTACTTTGTGAGGGAGACTTGCATCTGCGTAAGAGAAGTAACTGCTACAGACAAACAACTAAAAATTGCTTTTATAAACACATTCATTTATTTCTCATTTTCCTGGAAGAGAGGAAGTGGTTTATCTCATTCGTGCTGTAATGAATTGCCTCCCTAGCATCCTCCCTCAGTCCTACTGTATACATAATTCTGAAAGGCTTCTCTCTCACAGCCATAATAAACATACACTTAGCATGCTGTGATAATTAAGGTCCTGAATAATATCTTTGTTTTGCAGTGGCATAGGGTAAAGATTCTCAAAACTGCCGTACACAGGGGCTTCCCAGAGGCAGATCCCAGCTGCCTGTGCAAATGTGGGTCTGCACTACAGGCGGCTCCTGTAGTGCAGGACCCGCAGCACTCCTAGGACAGAGCATGCCTGCTGCTGCACAGGAGCTCACCCGGCCCTGCAGCACCAGTACAGATGCAGTCATTCCATAATTCATCAGCTACATGACTTGCCACAAGCTGGAAAAACAGGTAAGGATTAAAATTGGGTGATGGGATGAACCGTGTGGTTAAGGGATGAAACTGGCAGTGGTGACCACAGTTGCAGGGAACATGCATCAGGTCCTAGCTCGAGGGGAGGGAGAGCACTGATGGGATAGCAGAAGTGGCCCATTTGCCCAGTCCTGTAAAGCTCTGTACTGTTCACAGCAGACAACAGTACTGACAGACCTAAACATATTTACCACCAAGGTGAAAAGGGTTTAGGACAGATACAAACCAAGGCACCAATATCTACAACATGTGCCCAAATAAGCTACCGGAATCGGGCTAAAGTTTTGGTGTCAAGTCCAACCACAGAAGATACTTGTAAATCAACCAGAGGGTGTGTTAGTCAAGCCAGTATCACATTCGATAAAACCATTCAAGAAGCTACTGATTAAGAGTGTAGTATTTCTCTCTACGAGGCCCAATTCTTCAAGATATTCAGCAACTTCACATCACCATAGACAATATTATAATGCTTCATGTTGTAGCACCAACGCGCTTTTAAGCTAAGCATATTGGAGACGTATAGTCACTCAGTGCCTCACTTGCCTATACAGCTTTATAGGGAGCCACTGGACCGAAGCAGATTTCATTAAATGTTCCTAATTTATTCTGCCTCATTGCTCTTTTGTAAACAGGGCGGGTCACTAGACAGCAAGGCATTTAGTCCAAAAGGAGTATTGTGAATGAATATACAAATTCCACATACTACACCAAGGTAAGATCCCTCAATAGCCACTGAAATCCATCAGAAGTGACAAGATAGGAGCTTTTGTTTACAGGGCAGAGAACAGCATTCTCATAAGCCTTCACTCTCTTTTACAAACTCCCCTTGAAAAGTTTTTGGGCAGCCAATAGTAGTGTGGTTTAAATCACAATCTAGGTCAGAGAGAAATTTTCAACCATATTTTAGTTCCTTAATTTGTGGCTTCTCTTTTTGCCTTTCTTTTTCATCAGGGTGACAGGAACAACATTTTATTCATTTTTACCAGGGGGAAAAAAAAAAAAAAGTAACGTAGCAGGAAAGGTAATGATTAATCCATTCTTCAGGAAAAAAGAAGAGTTCTGATTGTGAAGTTACTGGTATTATCTAACCAGTATAAATAGAAGTGTACTCAGAGAAGGCACAGGATGGAAAACTCATGATGAATTGTTAGGGCATGTTGAGGTGGTTCTGTCAATGCCTGCAGTCAGATGATTTCACTGGCTGCACAAGATGAAATCTCATATTTCAATGTATAAGTAAAAGTGTCAAAGTTCAGCCGAGGCAGGGACAAATACAGAACAAATTTTGTGTGTGTTTGTAACTAGGGCACCAGAGCAATAGAGGAAGCCAAAATGAGCCGGAAAAGCAAAAGGAGTTTAAAGGAGAAATTTGCCTTGAAGAACAGCTTGGTTAAAGAAGCGCTCTCAGAATTCCTGGGAACTTTTATACTGATAGTAAGTGTCAGCTGCTTTCCTTTCTTTCCTTTCTTCCTACTAATCTAACGTTGGACAGTGCTTGTAAGGGGACGCGTATGCTTTTTCTTGTACTGTACCAGCAGCGTGCTTACTGACAAACCTTGTCCAGCCTTGAAAGGATTGCTTCTATTTCTGGTAAGTTTGTAATGCCTTTCTTCACTTGATGTAATGCTGACTGGCTGTTAACAACAGACAGCTCTGCGTATTACTATTGTCTGATAAGCATTTGATTTCATAGAAGAGCAGAATTTCAATGTACTACCATATTCTGAAAAATCCAGATACGCACAACAGAAGTTAATAATACTCTTACTTTTATTTTTAAAAAGCTCAGCAGTTTATTCTACTTTCACTTCTATGCACAAATTTCATTTGCTTTAACAAACATACTGTATTGCACATTAAGAGAATTTTAACTGTTATTTTCCTGTGTAATACACGAATTTAGCTGTGTGATTTGTAGTGAATTTATTGGGAGGTGCATTGCCAAACCATCAGAGATTTTGTAAGTTAACTATTTTTTGGTTTTAACTGTACAACATTAATTAGAGTTGCTTAGTCCTGTAGTGCTGCTACAGTTTAGGTAAATAACAAAACTCCCCATTTTCATATCCCCAGATTTTTTTTTTTAATTATTTAATTTCTTGCTCAATTTTTTCTTTTGTGTTTTGCACTGGGACACAGAGCTGTTTGGTGTTTTACCAGGGTAGAGAGCAGCCTCAGTAGCAGAGCTGGAAGTCAAGCAGCTAGAGTATTTATGCCAAACTCTTTCTTCCTCCTTTTAGTCAGAAGAAGACAGTCTTGCTTATTGCTAAGTATTTCATCATAGTGAAAGGACAGGAAAAAAAAGAAGCAGCAGGCATAGTACTGACAAAGTATTTTATAACTGTAACTATATTAGCTTAATTTCAAGTAAGTCATCTAAAAAATTCCAGTAGCTCATAAAATACATGAAAATAATGGTCTTTACTACACTTCAGCCAACTGAAGTTCACAGGCACTAAAGTAACATTATTCTCAAATTTAATACCATCCATAAGACATCATTACAGTAAGGAGAGCATTTAGAAGCAAGGAGCACAAAGCACTTTACAAACATTAATGAATTAAGTGTCACAACACCCTGGTAAGGAGGGGAAATGTCATTATCTTCATTTTATATATTAGCAAACCTGATTACAGCAGACTGCACAGGAAGCCTGTGGCAGAACTCTGAATATAACCCAGATCACCTGACTTCCAGTACTCTGTCCTCGCCACAAGATCATCCTCCTCTTTCCATTAATACAATTAAGCAAGTGAAGAAAACGTATTAAAGTGCAGATTAGACCGCAAATGCTATTATTTAATGTCCTGCTGCACAAGACTAGGAGGAAATGCAAACCCAAAGCTCATTTTCTAGTACATTCACCATATGAATATAGTAGAAAATGAAGCCGTAAAATTGTGGTTGATAATCTGAATTTCTCAATTCTGTTTTACTCTAATTTAAACTTTGGTTTAAAGCAGAGAAAAGCCTCACGTTGATTAAACTGTAGCTTTCTCAGTGCTTGGATACCTCAATTTATGTTTAGACTGCACAAGCTAGCAGCAGTATAAAGCATTTATTGTGAAGAAATGGACTATTCCACTGTTATTTATTGCTATTGCTTTTAGGCTGTCAGCTATTAAGTAGTTTCTCTTTAAGAGCAGATAAATATTAAACTCTTAACTTAAACTGGAGCTAATGAGAGGGGCACCCTGGTAAGTCAGGGGGCAGAAGTCCTTGAAAAAACAGACACCATGTATGCAAGAGAAGTTATAGCTTTCTTCTTCCATTACTGCGTCTTAATGCTGTTACAAAGTGAAAGTGAGCCAAGAGTTCACGGCCTACAGCACAGTTGGTTCAGATCTTTGCTGAAAGCCATTTCATGTCACTGTGATGGGTTTACGGCCTGTGGGGAGCACCTGAGCCGGGGAGCAAGGCAGGGATGAACCTTTCCGTTATCCACAGGCTCTGTCTGAAAGTCAATGCTAACTGACCGTACCTAAACCTGCAACCAACCTAGCACCTCTGTAAGTTAGCCAGGTTAAATTCTGTACCCCCAGTCACCTATTTATTTTTTTCTGGAGAACACCATCACAGATCACATACTATTAAGAGCTTAAACTATCATCTTTGTTAACTCTCCAGCCTTGAGACATTATTTTCCAAACTGGAAAAATGTACAAACTGTAAGATTAATTTCAGGACATCTAGAAAGTGAAAGTGCTCATCAGGCAAAACCCAAGTCTTCACCTGCGGTTAAGGGCTGTGCCTGCAGTGTTGAGCAAATTTGAGACAACAAGCCTTGACAAAGTCACTGGGTGTACAGTTTGGATAACATCTCTTGGTCATCCCTGCTTAATATGCTGTGGTTTGCATTATATATTGCTTAATATGCTATGCCTTGCAGCACGGTCTCAGAGCATGTAAGCTGAGTTTTTTCAGAGGAAACTAAAGTAGAAGTTGAGCTCCAGAATCACAGCAAATGTGCTAACCATTAATGGATGCTCAAGTCCAGTGGATCATACTGGAGATACTCCTAAATAATCCCTCCTAAGATGTCCATGGTCAGGTTCTCTGAACCAGCTGCTTGCACTGCACAACTTGATAATACAGCCATAGCCTGTGTGACTCCCTCTCTGCTTATCAAAGCACCAATTTCAACCTCTTTGAGGATTCAGTGAGGAACACTAGGAACATGGAAGTGCCCTGCCTGTATAGACAGATCCGATTATGCCTGTATAGACAGGCTGTTGTCGCCTGGCTGGGTACCCTGGCTGGTGATTAGGCTATTTTACTCTTAGACGTATTCAGCTGGGGGAACAAGTATTTCTTTCAGTGTCAGGCCTTGAGTTATCCCTCAAGGCATAACACAGCTTCTCCAATTATACTCTGGAACAAGAATTGGGGCAGAAAAACCAAAATGTACAGTCCATAACCACATGGAAATTGTATGTGGTTTCGGTTACACTGAGCTTATGGTCACTGTCTTGAACTATTACCATATTTACTTTCGAAGGTTCCATCAAGTTGAGAAAAAGAAAGTGTTGCCCCTCACCTCTTATGTGATTTCTATAAACCAAATGGGGCAATGCAGTTTTAACATAACTCAGGTTTTCAGGACACGCAATGAGGAGCACGCATTATGCGGGGGATTTATATTTGCAGATTATTTGTAAACTCTTGCCCATTTCTCACTTTTACCTTGGTGCTGTCACATGGTAAACCCCCAGCCTGCAAAGTTTAATTGTGCCATTTGTAATTTAGATTATGTATCTACAGCAATATAATCTACCCATAGACCTTACAACAAACACTTGAAGAGGAGAAAACTGTTTCCCAGAAAACAAATATAGAGTAATGTGGGTTTCACACAGTGTGCTTGGAACCAACTTGTGGTCCTGGTCCCTCCAGCTACACCTATGCAACAGATCCCTGGGG